CCCTCAGAGCGCCCTGCCCCGCCTCAGCGTGTGTGAGGGGAGCGGGAAGGGCGTAGGGGAGCCCATTGCTGAGAGCGGGGCCGCAGGGGGGAAGGCGTTTGAGTACGGGTGGACGCTGTGTCCCGAGTGGCGTGGGCAGCCTCCCACGCCGACCGTGCCCGCTGCGCCCCAGGAACCGTAACGGGCACTGGGATGAATAAAATATGCACTTAAAGTAAAAATTAACTGTACCTGGCTGTGCTCTCAGCTCTAAGACTGTGTAGGTGCAGCAGCCCTAGTTAGTGTGTAGTCATCTTAAGGAAACGCTCTTCTGTAGAGTGAGAGAACTGTAACTTAAAATAACCCATTTATTATTTTTCTTGCTAGCTAATGGTACTACCCAGTCCTATGATCTTTCTTTGCTCTGCAACTGATGAGCTTCCGCCTCAAACAGTGGAACTTGATGTATGTCTGTATTTTTTCCCCTGTCCCTCATTTCAGTGAAGAACTTGGAAACTGGTAGAAGCACTCCAGGAGTAAAGATGTTTTTTGACCGTGAAATAGTCAATGGTGAGGTTTTCCTTAGAGTATTTTGGGGCACAGGGATCATAACCACCTTTAGTTCAGCATTTTAAATCTATTTTTTGGTCACTCTGCTGAATGTTTCAGTTGTACATCTTTCTCCTAAAATCAATGGGAATTAGAATGTTGTATAAATCGCACAAGTTTTATTCTATAATTATCTATCAGGGAAATAATAATTCCCTACTTTGTGAAGGTCTTATGGTTGTACTGTGTTAAAACTTGTTAGTTAAATAATGACCAAAGTTCAATAAGACCACTAATTACAGTAACCACTCTGAAAGTAAACAGTTGACATAAGCATATGCCCCTTGTTTACATCCTGAAAGCAAGTTACATTCATTGTGTATGTTCTTATATGTGCAAGACTTTCACTAATGGACTCTGCTGGATGTTAAATTGCTTAAAGTTCTAGTTAACTTGGTTTTGCTTTAATCACATGGGCAAAAGCATGTCTGTTAAATGGTCTGTTTATCTGAGCTTCTTTCCGCGATTCACTAGTGGTAAGAATATCTGCTTTGGGGACAAGGAGCAAAGTGCTGAGGGGGAAATAGCTAAAAGGCAGCTATTGGACTTACCAAGTGGTTAACTGACTCTATTCTGCCTTTTTCCTGGTACCTGCTTTATTGTATATGTAGTAGTCTGTAAAATAATTAGTTGTAGTTTGATACTGACTTTGGTTTTGGTAGGATGCTAAGTCATTAGTTTTGTTTAAATGCTGGAGTTCTGAAATACACCTTGTCTAGGCTAATGGTGTAAGATATTTTATACAGATTTGTGCATCAGAATGAATTTAAAATTATTTAAACTATACTTTGAGTTCAGTTTCTTTTTTTTTTTTACGTGTATGGCCATGTACTGTGGTGGTTAGTACTGGTTATGGTTCTCCTGTTTTTGGGAGGTAACAAGTGTCAAAAAGTTGCTTGTCAGTGCTAGAGTATAAATTGTTTTTTTCTTTTGCAGTGGAAGTTCTGGATGAACCAGACTCAGGGAAGGGAACAGCAATGATGTCAGAGTATGTTGAAATATTTCCTTCCTTTCATGGTAGGAGGAGGGGTGGGATGTGCTTGCTAGGGGAGCCATTATTAGTATAATACTGTTCAGACTTAGCTGTGCCAAGTTTGTATTTCTCTCTTCTAAAGAGGTAAACAAGGTGGTGAGTGGAAGACCTCCTCTATGTAAAAGGTTCTTTCAAGCTATTGCTTACAATTTCTTTCTTGCTTTTTTCTTCCCACTAGTGTTCTTAGTACCTAGGTAGAAGAACTTGCTTGGTTTGTTTCCTTGTCAGCTTGTGGTTTCAGGGAGGATTTCCCATGAGCATTTCTTCTATGGTGGAACAGTTCCAGGACAATGTATAGGGAAGGTTAGGTTTACACAGATGCTCTCAAAACATACATAAATGTGACTTTGTGAAGCTGGTAAAAATATGTTTCAAACTCCTGCAGACCCATGCTCCTAGGTAGTTTTGCTTTGAGTCTTCTCACAAGACCACATTTGAATAGTTTATTCTTTCTCTTAAGAGAAGTAGGAATGAAGTGGTGTCTACTGAATAGTCAAAATATAGTTAAAAAGCAGATAGAATTGCGATTAGCAGCAGTCGTCTTGCTGCTGTCTTCTTTCTCCCTGTTAAGTAAGCCTATGTTCACACATACTTGAATATGCTCACCTTGGTGGCAGAGTCCTGTGTTAATCCTTTAAATATACAATTTTAGATACAAGACTCTTCAGCTACATCTAAAGGTTGGTCAGAAAGGGTTTTTGTTTTATTCTATTGAGATAGAGATGTACATGACTGGAGCTCCATAATGGGATGGTTTTATATCAATAAAGGAAATTTATATGAAGTCGTATTTCCCAGCGAAGTATTCTTGACCTCAGGGTGTCCTATCATAGAGATTAAGCATCTTATATGTGACATCTTCCAGTCAGGTGAATGTTTACTAACTCTGTGTTTCTGGTCCTAAGATGCTACCATGTTATATGATATAATAACTTCCCTTTGATTACAGTAAAGTTTAGGTGGCTATAACTTTATATATATTGATGAACTTGTAAAATCGCCCTCCAATTACAGTAACTAACTAATGGATCAAATATTATTGATTCAGTGTAAAGACTTATAGATATTTAAATTGTGTGGTTCTTGACCTCAGGTCAGGTACTTCATTCTTTGTACTTTGAACTCTTTCTTCCTCCGAAACCGTAGCTGACCTTCGCAGTGAACATCTGTTCAGGTTCTGCTTTCACCTTTTAATTTCAGAATAAATGTGACATTTTGTCTGAAATAAAGGCCCTTTTGTGCAAAATCAGCTTATTGTTGGGTAGCTTCAAGTCTTCTTTAAGAACCATGCACATTGCTTCATATGCACCAGTTCATTATCTGGACACAAGTAGATGGCAGTGGATGAAATAATTTTATTAAAATGTTCATGCTGGTGGAATGTTTTGACTTTTGTGCTATGTATGGTTGCCTTGCTCATGTAGGTGCACTTCAGCTCTTGAAGGGAACAAACAAGCAGAGACAGGACCAGCACACTGTGGCTCATGGAGTTCTTGCATTTCCCTAGAGAGCCAGCTCAGAGCCTCAAATAGCTTAAAACACTCCCTCTCAGGTAATGTGGATATTAGTCCTTGTCAGACAACATCTTTCCCAGAGGCTGTGATCTCTTGGTTTGCCTGTATTTGAACAGGATGTATTCTGAAAGAACAATGGTCACAGAAAGATAGGTATGGAGCTCGTTATCTGCAGCCATGCTCTTTGCCTGCAGATGTGTTCACAACATCAGAAGGAAACTCATTTACTTTCCAGAATGTTTATCCTGTAGCTCTCATCAACTTTAGAAGTGGCTGAGCAGCACAACTGATCTTTTGGAGAAATCAAAGTGCTTCAGCCAGTGAGCATTCCTCTCTGGTGTACGTTTTAATCTTATAGTTGTTCCTGAAATGTATGCAGCATGATAGGTAACTCAAAGATATATTACTTTTTGGTTCTGTGCTGGCTGTCACAGATTTGGTTGTGTGGTTCCTGCTGTATACATGTACACAGGTACAGATCCAAAATGTGATCAGCTCATTCTCTTCTTGTAGAGCTGTGACAAGAATGCAAGACCTGTATAGGCTAAAGGGAGGTTAGCTGCGTTTACCTGGGTAGCAGAGGAGAAAATAAGCAAGGCTTGATGTGATGTGGGAGAGTCTTTAAAAACTTGTTCTTATGATCTTTCAATTGACTGTTCTTTTAGAGTTTAGAAGATTGTCCTTGTGTTGTCACAGATGTGTAAGATCACTGTCCGTGTTCTGTGGTGTCACTGTCTGTTAGTTTTGTCTTTGTTACAGTCTTTTTCTGTCCCTGGACAAGCCTGGCAATTAGGGTGCTTTTTTATGATGTAATTTTTTTAAACTGAAAGGTTTTTGTTTCCTTTATGCATCATAAAGATAAAAAGTTAATGCTGCAACTTGCTTTTAAATGGCCAGTTTTTCTGTCAAAATCTAGAATATTGGGTCATGCTCTAGACTGTACACATCTGAATCTACGCAGTTCAGTAATCTGTTTGAGTACATTCAGGAAGCAGAGAGGGAAGAACTGAACAGCTAAACCAGAAGAGTGATTTATACAACTAAAATGCATACCTTATGCAAAGTTTATTCAAATAGAGGAAGTGTCTAAGGATTTTTCTTTTTCTTTTAGAGAAGAAGGAAGAAGAGAATGTGGAGTACACAGTTGTCGATTGTTTCCAGCAGAAATTTGGCCCAGCAGTAAGTACTAATTAAAGTTCTTACACAGTGTATGACTTCTAAGCCTGTTCTGTTCTAATTGGCAGTAGAGTCATTAGGTGACAGGATTGTAAGCACTGCTTTATGATGTCTTATACTGGAAATCACTTTTGCAGATTGTAGTAAAATTTGAGTAATAGGTAGTTGCTGGCATCTTTTAAGTCAAGTAGAAATGGTATCTCTGGTGGCATCAAAGTGCACAGAGTACAGTGCATGTGAGTTTGCAGTGGGTGCATGTGAATCTGCATCAGTGTGTGTTGGTTGCTGTTGTCAGACTCTGTATCACCAGTAACTGAGGTGAAGGGTCAGTGTTACTATTTAGTGAACAGTTAACTTGTTTAGGAAGGGAACAACATAAGGATTGTTGGCATTTGTAGAGGGAATTGATTGTGTTGGCTTTCTAGGTGTTTGAAACTCCAGACATGCCTGGACCTTTTTCTCTTAAGTCATGTATAATAATGTAAGTGAACTTGGTAGAAGGGCTTTGTTTCAGAAGTCAGAGCCAATGATAGGTTTATTAATAAATTTAATAGCATTGTTTAGATCCTGAATTAGACCAGCAATACTGTAGGTCCTCCATGCCATTTTGTCTTGTAGTAGCATCAGTTGGGATTTGGGCTCTTACCATGGTAAATCAATTGCACATACAGAGGAAAAAGCTCTTCCTCACAGGAAGAGATTTCCCTGTTTACAGAGGATTCTAACTTGGAAAAGAACTTGGCTTTTTTATTTCTGTTAATGCCTTCTACTTTTGTGTTACATGTGTTGCTTTATCTTAATTGTCTGAAAACTTTGTGGTTTTGAGAGTAACATGTTTTTCTTTTATACCTTAGAAAACAAGTTCTCCTTTTTATCTGAAAGAAACACTTTCTCTATGTGATATTAAGAAAGTTCCTCAAACGTAGCAGGATTTCTTGGGAGGAGATCAGAGGAGTCTAAATTCTTTAGTTATCCTTAATATCTGCAAAACCTATCATTGATGTTTCTATTTGCAGGATTTCCAGCTGTCTATCTGTAACTGAACTGATACTGTGTCTGTTTCTCTTGGATCCCTATATATGAGATTCATTGTGGTTTTGATCTGTATTTACCTTTTTTAATATGGATCATGACCAGAAGAATCGCAGTTTACTTCTGTCCCTCTGTCTATCATTCTCTGGCACTGTTTATTTTATCTCTGTTTTTTTCATTAGGTGCTGCACTTAAAACAGCAGTGTGTTGTCAGTATAGCAGGAGAGGGTGTTAATTTGTGTCGTCATGGAAAACTCTCATGGCTTGAGGTAAGAGGCAGATATTTCCCAAAATGCGCCATTAAACAGAGGCATAACTGAGAAACATTTGGGGATTAGCCTATGTTTAAGACTTATGTAACTGTTCTCGTAAGGGCTAGGATGTTCTTCAAGACAGATCAGTTATTTTATAAAAGATGTCTTATGAAAAGAATTATGCTGTTTTAAGGCAATATAATAATTATTAAACTTGTATGTTATATACAAATGTATATATTACAATGTAACATATTTGGTTTGCCATCTTTATATACTTATATACAGGTAGAAGTATTACACTAGTACAGCTGATCCTATTGAAAAACTGTGAGACCTAATCACAATGCCAATATAATTGAAAGAGTAAAATCCATCTAAAGATGACACAGTATCTTAATTAGCTGTGATAATCAACACCTGAAAAGGAAGAGGCAGAAAGGAGAATAGCTTAATATGTTAGCTCAAAATCATCTGATTTTTAAATAGGTTTAAAAGTGAGAGTGTTTATCCGAAGCAAAATCTTGTGTGAGAGTTCATGCTTCAAACTTAACTCGTTTATGCAGAAGGAAGTTTCCACAAAATGTTTGCTTTGGTATAGCTAAATTGCTTTCAAATAACAGCTTTTGTTAAACCATTATGAATTTGAACATAGGCAAAACCTAAATTTTATATCCTGTTTGAAATGCTAGGATGGAAAATTATGTCCTTTATTTCTTTAGTAGTGGTCTTTGGCAATGAAAGGAACATCATGGGCACAAAAATTTTGTTGGAAGTGGTTCTTTAAAAATGTCACCATAATAGGTGTAAGAATTTAAGTACTGTCCCCTTGATATGTCTCAACCATGCTGTATTTAACTGTGTATAGTAGACTACTGGGTTTTTCTTTCTAATTATTGTGAGAGTCTCTGAGCACCTCTGGAAAAAGCAACATTTGTTTATGAATTGACATTAAGGAAGCTAAACCTGCTCTCCCCAACATAAGCCTGTACATAGGAGTTTATGGCTTGTGGGCAACAGTGTACTCTCTTCTACTTTCAAATCCATTGTTCTTCTGTCCCTCACTCATTTTTCTCTGCAACTGAATTTGTTGTAGATAGCAACAAAGAGCCGTATTTTTCTATTTGATATCTTTCTTCTGGGACCTCAGGCCTTCAAAAACGGTTTACAAATGGTGCTGGAAGATAAAAACATCTTGAAGGTAAGGGTACAGGTTGTGTGAGGACATTTGTGGTGGCAGAGTGTCATATATATTTATAACGACCTACCTGCACCAAAAAAGTTGCAGTTGGACACAAGTTTGTCTGACAGCTCTTTCTTGTTTCAGGTCATGCATGACTGCCGTTGGATGTCAGACTGCCTCTTTCACCAGTACGGTGTCCTTCTCTTCAATGTCTTTGATACACAGGTACCCTTCAAATATTCTGTTGGAAAGAAAAGTTTCAACAACAGAAACTTCAGCCTTGTTCAGGGCATTCTCTCAGAGAAGGTTTAACATTATTAGAATGTGAGAGTTGTTGAACCATGTAAATTTAGTGGGTTTGTTCTAGCTGAAAAGAACTGGTAGAAAAGGCTGATAGTGTTTAGTCTTGTGTAGACCCATATTAAAAGGCAGTTAATATCTAATATTAGCAGCAAGTTTAATGTGTTTTTTAAGATGTAACAACTAGTCTTGATAAAACTTGGCACAACTCGAGGTTACTGTGACTTAAACAGGAGACAGGTCAGCTTGTGCTTTATATTCTTTGTTATTCTTTCTGTCCCTTTCACAAATGTAATAGATTCAGGCTACAGATATCCAACACTGGGAAGCACCTGCTAATAAAAGCAGTGGTGAAGTGAGAGAACAGGCCAGGTTACCACAAAAACCTGTTTTTGCTGGTGCTGGCCCTGGTAGTTGTGGTAGTTAATGTTGTGTGACTGACAGGAGAATTAGAGCCTTTTGAGAGAGAAGAAAATAACATAATGGCTGTGATCTTTCATAACAGGCATGGATATGTTATATATAGTTATGTATGACTTGTCCTTGCCTATATACTGACTTCATGTAATAGATATGACTGCCTATAGTAACTCTTTAAAGCCCTAATCTGGGCTACACAGTAAGGTTTATACAGCAGAGGTTTCAGTCCCTCTTTGATCTTAGTTTGACCTTTTACCCCTAAAAATTATGTTATTCCATTACAGGTCAAATATCAGTCAGTGTTAAGTCTTGACTGCATGAAAAAAGTAGGGGAGGAAATTACCGCTGGTGCTCCCAACTGTACTGGCTAGAACATGTAACTGATACAGTGGAAATAACTAACCAGAACTTTCCACTCTAGTGTCTGAGGTACACAGAATTGCAATCATTGTTCTGTTGTCTTGGTAGGAGCTGACATGCATGCTTTTCTTGCACTGATAGATCTCTAGGCTTAGATTCAATTACTCTGATGCGTTGGCCTGAATCCTACTTCTAAGGCAAGTAAGCTAGTGAAGTAGTCTGGTTTTGGCTACCCTGCAGTGTACCTGATATTGTGGAATTAAGCTGTCTTGTCTTCTACCCTGTACTACTGGAGCAAATAACTGGGAGACACCTCTGAGCAATCTCTCATAGATGCTTTTTGTGAAGCACTTTAGAGACAGCTTCTCAGCGTTGTTAAAATTGGAACAGGCTGTGTGCACAAGTGAGACTCAGCTTAAAAAAAACCCACAGCAATGGAAATAAGAACTCTGGTTTAGATGGAATCCTGCCTGCATAATTTGAAAAGTGTTATTTATCCCTGGTTTTGGTCAGTTGCTGCAGCTGTTTATTCTTTGCAGTAACCCAATATAATTAGCACAACATGTAGAGGATGGCAGTGAGAGGTTTCTGATGTTCACTGACTGTCTTCCCCACTGATGTTCTTATAGTACTTAAGCATCACCTGTTGAAGTAACTTTTAATGATAATGCTTGTGGAAGCCTGTTACTGCTATTTCACATTTTCATCAAGTTTTCCTTATATGGCATTGCTATTTCAGATTTTCAATAAAAGGCAAAGCCATACATACCCTGGGAAAGTGTCACTGCATGTTTACTCTCTTCTGATACTGTTCCTAACTACCTGCTGTCTGGAAGCAAGAGTACAGGGCTAGAAGGAGCCTTAGACTAATACAACATATAACTTTATATAAGTCATTCTTAGAGGTTAATTTACCTTTTTATGTAACTTAGCAGCTTTAAGGAGTCAGAGTACTAGCTCTGCAACTCTATGCGGTCAAAATGAGGATTAACTTGTTTGCAGCTTACTTTACTTCTAATATGCATCCCCGCTGTCAAACCTCCACATTCTTTGCCTTGGGTTAACAGATGCTGGTCATGGCATACTGATCCCTTCCATCACAGGTTGCTGATGCTCTGCAGTTCTCAATGGCAACAGGTGGCTTCCTTCCGCACCATGTCTGCACATTACAGGAGTGTTTGATGCAGCACTTGAAGATACCTACCAAATGGGATGCCATCATGAAGTGCAGGCAGCAGGTGGCTTCAGTGAGTGATTCAGTGAGGCTCCTTCTGAAGACTCAATTGTGAGCTGTACTTTACCCATATTGAAATGTTTCTGTCAGGGTTTAAGAGCATGGTACTATGCAATGGTCAAATTGCTGTGGTTAAGGATATTTTGTCACACCGTCTTGGGAGACAGATACAAGCTTTTGTTGGCATCAGTGCTTATGCTGGAATTTCCTAATAGCTCCTTTGAAATTGAGATTTTTGAAGAACCACAAAGCTTGTACAATAGAGGACATATAGAACTTGGGTAAGAGATGTTCTGGATATGTTAAGATATTTGACTAATTCTGAAACCTAGTTCCAAAAGAACAAGTTGGTTAAAATGAGTCTAAAGAGGAAGCTTTTATTGCCAGCACTATTAGAATGAAAAAAATGAGCAGCGATTTTTTTTCTTGCTTGTGCAGTTCTGCAGCACTTGCCAAATCATTATTCTCTATTGTCCTTGTTTTTGTTAATCTTTCAGATGGGGACAAGCAAGGGAAAACTTAATGGCCCAGGAGCTCTTAAGATTTGGGGAATGTAAGCTTGATGAATAGAATCGACTGTTTCAGTTGGAAGGGGCCTACAATGACCACTTAATCCAACTGCCTGACCAATTCAGGGCTGA